CTTTGTTTTTAATTCATCAAACCGTATTTATACTTGCAATGTGTTTGATTCACTCCGCTACAAAAATATCCCAGTCAATCTAATTCATGATGTCCTTCAAAATAGATCTATTCAAGCCAGCTGTTGAAATAGTATTCATATCTCAATATATATCACTGAAAAATAAAATATTGCAATGTCAGATGTTTTCCAATATCGTGCAGCCCTAATATATATATATATATATATATATATATATATATATATATATATATATATATATATATATATATATATACAGGGCTTGACAATACATTTTTTTGATCACCAGCCACTGTGGCTAGTAGATTTCCAACGTTACTAGCCACTCGCCATTTTCACTAGCCACACTTTTGTTGCTGGGAAAATATCTAAATTTGACATTGACATGCTAAAATTTGTTGATGTAGATGTGTTAGGTCCACATGCCTCCTCATTCATTTCACTTTTTGTGTGTGTTGTGTATGAGCTTGCTCAATGAGCAAATAGGTTGTGTTGCATTGCAATTAGTTTATATATATATATACAGTTGAAGTCAGAGTTATTAGCCCCCCTGAAGTATTAACACCCCCCCCCTATTTTTTACCTAATTTCTGTTTAACGTAGAGCAGATTTTTTTCAACACATTTCTAATCATAATAGTTTTAATAACTCATCTCTAATTGATTTATGTTATCTTTGCCATAATGAAAGTAAATAATATTTTACTAGATCTTCTTCGAGACACTTCTATACAGCTTAAAGTGACATTTAAAGGCTTAACTAGGGTAATTAGGGTAATTAGGCAAGTTAGGGTAATAATTCTGTAGACTATCAGGAAAAATATAGCTTAAAGGGGTGATCATTTCGACCTTAAAATGGTGTTTAAAAAATTAAAAACTGCTTTTATTCTTGCCAAAATAAAACAAATAAGACTTTCTCCAGAAGAAACAATATTATCAGACATACTGTAAAAATTTCCTTGCTTTGTTAAACATCATTTGGAAAATATTCAAAAAAGAAAACAAAAATTCAAAGGGGGCTAATAATTCTGACTTCAACTGTATATATATATTATTATATATTATTATTATTATTATTATATATGCATTATTGCTATTCTTGTATTTTTATAAAATATATATTTTAATATTTTATATAGTAAAAATTAAAATATATGAAATATATTTCATAAAAATACAAGACTAGCAATAATTTTAAATACTAGATTAGTTATTTGTTTAAATATTTACATAATTTTCTAATGTATATAAAAATATTTAGTATGCACATTATATAAATGTTTGTTTGCTAATAATTAACTGCGATGGAAAAACTTTATTTAGCTATTTTTATGTTGAATTGCATATAGAGAGAGAGAGCAAAGTCATATATGTGAAAACTATTAGATTTATTCAATTATTTACTTCAATTTTATGCCTCTAAACAATCAAAATGCTAAAATAGCCACAAAATAATAAAATGTGTTTTATACATAAATGTATTTTGTTTTTTAAACTGTTATGTTGTAATGTGTTTGCAAATACTTACTTAAGTGTTTGCAAATACTATATATAATACAATATTATTTGCCATTTATTTTTATTAATAAATTGTCTGACTTTGGTGTGTATATATATATATATATATATATATATATATATATATATATATATATATATATATATATATATATATATATATATATATCAACTACATCACGGATGAACAATTATATTCATATACATTCCAAGAAATAATATATAAGAAAATCTAAAATATCAATAAACAAAAGCACATAATTAATAAAAATTGTGCTTAAAATGTATGAAATAAAACTGAAAAAGTAACTGAAATTTAAATGTTTATAAATGTTTTGTCTGGAAACAAATCTGACCCAGATTGATCTGTTTACCATATCAACCAGCCAATCCAGTTTGTTTCATGCAACATTAAGCAAAAAGTATTTGAATCCAGTGATATGACAATGATAAATCTGTTTACTAGTGTCCCTTCAGAAGTGTTTATAATGATATTTGTTCTGTGGAATCTGCAGTAAACAGCCAGCAGGAGCTCTCGCTAACACCGTATGACCTTTAACCCTGACCTCCGACCTCAACATAAGGAAAACATCAGTGTGTGTAGCTGCAGTTTCTCTAGTGTGTCCAGACTCACGCTGACCACTGTATGTGTGTGTTTGCTCTTCAGGGTGTTACTCTGACAGACCTGCAGGAAGCCGAGAAGACAATGAAGACGGAAAACAAGGGAAAGAAAGAAGACGAGGAGAAAGAAGGGAAGCAAAAGAAGGGAGAGGAAGGGGTGAGAGAGCTGGAGTTTAAGACTAATATCACTGATGAACCAGTCCTAAATGGTGCAGGGGTAAAGGTCAGGCGTGCCCTGTTTGTTTTATGTTCATTTACTCTGAAACTGAATAACAATGGTTTAATCATAATATCGGAAACTGGGTGATGTGTCAGATCGCTGCTATTATAGTTTATGGTTAGAGATTTGCTAAAATTTTAGTATATATGTCTTAAAAGTACACCCAAACAATCACAATAATTTTAAATATTACAGTGTTTATTAATATAAATCATTTATCTATATAAATAATCACACTTTATTTCAGAAAAAAGTTGAGCTTTATGTGTGTGTGTATGTATTAGGGCTGCATAATATATCGTTTCAGCGTCGATATCGCAATGTGTGTATTCGCAATAGTCACGTCACAGTATCTGCAGTGTTGAGCTGGATTATAGTTTATCAGCAACGCACAGTGCTATTTTACATTACATTTGACTATTCAGTTACTGTAGCTGAATATCTGACTACTATTTGACTCTCCGGAAAACCATTAAGCACTGCTTATTACACTTTTATCTTTGTTTTTAATTCATCAAACCGTATTTATACTTGCAATGTGTTTGATTCACTCCGCTACAAAAATATCCCAGTCAATCTAATTCATGATGTCCTTCAAAATAGATCTATTCAAGCCAGCTGTTGAAATAGTATTCATATCTCAATATATATCACTGAAAAATAAAATATTGCAATGTCAGATGTTTTCCAATATCGTGCAGCCCTAATATATATATATATATATATATATATATATATATATATATATATATATATATATATATATATATATATATATATATATATATATATATATATATATATATATATATATATATATATATATATATATATATATATATATATATATATATATATATATATATATATATATATATATATA